CTGTTTTCTGCCTGTTTTTGATATGAGCTGTCTAGATATGACCCCGAGTTCTTGTTAAATTATTAAGCAATTATTCAAAACAATTTGTATAAGAAACCTTTGCAAGGTTCTTGTAACTTCAGCAAAGCTGTAGAATATCGAGCATTAGAGCACCTATAAGATGCCCGTATCAAACTTTGAAGACTCTAATGGATTTCAATTAGCAGTATAACGACTTCCACTGAAATTCTGGATCAGCAGTAAAACGACTTCCACTGAAATTCTGGACAATTGCAATACAAGAGATGACAGAAAATGCGATGAATCACATTTTCCAACCAACAATAAATTCTTATACCCATGAGTAGAGCCTATAAACCACCTATCAAAAGATTAAAGTTAATGGGAATGTGGTTACTGAGCCTGCCTTATCATAGTAGCTGTAAATCAAAATTTTAGATTCGCTGAGGTTTCGCTCATGTTATTCAAAACTAATCACAAAATAAATCATACACATTTATTTCCTGGCCAAGGCGAAAAAATAAAGATAAGAATTGACAAGAACGTAATGAAGTGCATTATTTATGCAATCGTACAGATCTCCAAATCGGGCGTCATGAAACCCTATATAAACGATATATCCAATATAAGTAAAAAAAACTATCAGAAGCAGGCAAGAACTACAAAACATAATAAACGACAAGAAAGCAATCACGCCAGTTCTACCCGCTTTTAACGCCAAAGATTCTCAAAAGTACATACTCCCAAATGTTTGAGAGCGAATGCTAAATCTAAACTACAAACGAAAAAGATCACTAGTCATCATCGTCATCGTCTGCGGGTACGAATATTTCGTTTTCTTCCAAGTACGATGCACCTTTGTGAGCAATGAAACCTCCAAAGTACAGTGATGAGGCGGCTACCAAACATAGCTGAAAAAATGTTTATACTATTTACAAAAGCGAAAAATACTACGTAACCGAGCAAATAAAACAGACTTGTTGGAAGAAAATCAGTAGCAGGAAGCAAAAAACAAAACCAAGGCAGTATAAGAAAAGTGAGAAAATGACGGGCAAATTTCGATTTCAAACAGAAAAAAGCAAGCAATATAAAAACATTCTCAAGACAAAAAGATACAAAACGCACCCTTAGGAATACACCACGATTCTCCACCGGCCTCAAGCCTATTCCCTTAACACTTGGAGCAGCATACGTACCTGGAATAATGATCAGCGAATTTGTGCAACCTTTTGTAGCATTTCAATATTGGAAAAACAGGGTATTTTAGCACAGTAAACAAAGAATTCAATGTTAGGCGTCACAAATGAACACTTAGTTATTCACGTTTAAAATTGTCAAGGAAGAAATGTCAATGACGAAAAACGTAAAGTTGACTGAAAGCTCAAAGTCCGTAAAATCACTATAAATTAGGATCGCAGACGATGATTTTTGTACTAGCATGAAATGCATGTCTCGTTATTGATACATACAAGGAAACACCATCTCTAACAGTCTAGCTGTGATTATATCAAACTTTCCTAAGCAAATTCGACCTGATAATTGTGGCAACAAGATAAACAAATTTGAAAAGTCTTCACTGATGTTTTTCGCGCCTCGCAAACTTTTATTCACGTTGAAATACCGTATTTTCTTCCGCATTCTAAACTTCCATCTCAAAAAAATTGACGCCTAGCTAAGACGTAAAAAAATGAAAAAGAAGCAAAATATAGAAGCAAAACATTATACTTAATTTCCAAATCATCGCACCAAACCATAAATTTTTCTTTATCTTAAAGGTTCATTAACATGATAACATGGCATCTTGCTCTGGAAATAGGTTTCCTTTTAGAATAGCCTTGGAAGATAGCGCTTATACAGGAAGGAAAGAAAAAAGTATACTTAATCTGAACCCATTTTCTAGACTAATTTTTTAAGAAAGCCCATGTAATTTTGAAGGCGTTTATCCTTCATTTATGCAAAAGTATCTAGTTGTCAAGTATTTTGGAAAATTCAGCACGCTTCTCCTCATTCTAAGCGATTCTGTAAGGATAATGTGTGACAAGCGAATTAAAACCTTTTTTTGCCCACTTCAACACAAGGTGGGATGAACTTGACTCGGAAATTTTTATCCCCCTGATACTGCTAGGAACGAATCTAATTAGCACACCGCTTCTCAATGTACTTTCGTAATTTAGCTCTTCCCCAAGTACACCATATGTTATTTGTAAATCAGTCATCAGCTCCAGGGATAGCGTCAACAACGTTCATAGCGCCTCCCATTGAATGAGTACTTAACTGGAATTGAATGTAGAAACTGTAACGCATACAACTATGTAACT